AATGTGGTTTGTTGATAGCATGGCTCTGAACATGTAAACAAATACTTAAGATATATCCAATTAAGCAGCAATTGAAGCAACTAGTGATTACTCACATAAGGAGTGTGGTCAGCAGACCAATCAACTTTGTTGAATTCTTCTTTCCCAGGATTATCAGCAGCAGCACACAATAGCTGGGAAAAAAAAAACATAGAATTATCAAGAGTGAAATACATGCTCTTTTCCTCATTTCGGAACTCAAAATTGGCTGTCAGCTTCATTGCAGAACCTTGCAGTCTTGAGAGAAAAGAAGATAGAAAGCAAAGATGTTAAATGGTATCATTAAAAGCCAAAACAGTTTAGGTTCCAAAGATGATAATCTTCCACTACCTAGCATGCCTACCATAGAAATTAGGAACCATGAAATCCATTTCATCTATCGACTATGCATGATTCATTTCATTCAGAAGTCTAAGAAGTTTCTATTTAGCCAGGTGAAAAGTATGCAACATAGGATTGGGAAATAGTGGGAACGTATGGTTTTAAAATTTTAAGAGTATAAACCTATAGAAATAAGAGCAAGTACTTATAGCTCAGTCAATAAAGTGCAGGCTCTCCCATCCACAAGAAATGGGTTTGAATCCCCCTACCCCACTCCCCCTTATTTTTAAAACAAGCAATGGTTGGGAGTAACAGTTCTACCCTCCCCAGGAGTTTTAGGTAACCTAGGACTTTAGTTTTTACTGTCCTTTTAATGAACTACAGCTTCTGAATATTAATAATTTACCATGTGGATTCAGGTTCATCCCTATCGTACTCTTCAATGTGTGCACATGCACATCACTACCTGTCCTTTTGTGCCATATCAAATTAGCAATACCATGGCACAACCAACTGAATATTTTAAACAACAGAATACTAAGCCTTACCAAGGATTCTGCTATCCCTTTGGCAACAGACTCCCCAAATAGCTGTTCAACTAAGGACAGGGCAAACTGGAAACAAGTTCCTGGACCACGGCTTGTTGTAAGCTCTCCTGAAACTTGAATGTTTGATTTGACAGCCCAAAAAGTTGGAAGCTTGTCCATGAATGCAGGGTGGCATGTTGTCTTCAAATGAAAAGCAACTCAAACTTAGCCATCAAAACACACTTATATGCAGAAGTGCAATGGCAAACAAGCACCAACCTGTCTTTTCCTTATGAGTCCCCATGGCAGAAGTGTGACAGCTGGAGCAGCAGATATAGCTCCATACAGCCTCTTTTCCTCAGCATGTTTGCTTGTAATTTTCTTTAGGGTTTCACAATCTCTTAATCGTGCTGATCCAGGCATTCCTCCCTTCAAAATATAAAATACACTAAAAATCAACCACTGCACAGAAAATCACTTTATAAGGAATAATATTGCCAAAAATTATAAGAAACAAAAAGAAGAGCAAGCTACAGTCTCAGATTCCCAAAATGCCAGATCACCCTGCACTTTCATCTTATTTTTGTTTAGGAAGCTTCATTGATATAATTTCCCAGTATAATTGGTTCCAATTGAAAGTTCAAAACCTGTCACCTTATGCCCATTGTTGACCACTGTTAACACAAGTTCACATGCAGCATATTTATATATACCAATATAAAGTCTTAGCAGAACTCATAACGCAGCATATTTTCATGTACAAGTATAAAATCTTAGCAGCACTCCTTATAAATGAGTTACTACTTCACCAGTCGCAACAATATGCAATGTGAAATTAAGGAAAGGAAATTTGATGGTTAAATTAACTAACCGGTAATGCCACCAGCTCAAAAACTTGATTAGAACAGGAGGATATGGAGGTATCTGCTACCAATGTAGTACCAGAGGATGCTTCCACCTCAAGCTGTGGCTCTACAGAGGCCACAGTCACCTCTGCACCTGCCTGACGCAAAACATAAACTAATATAACAGCTTCCATTTCCTCACTGCCAAATCCAATTGGGACCAAAACCTATCCATAATAACACAAACAACAAGAAACAAGCCTTTGATAAGTTTAAAATTCCCAACTTAGATGAGTGCATATCTAGCCCATCTAAATTAGCAAACAGCTTAAAACCCATGGAGCTAAACAGCTTAACCCCATTAGTGAACTGCAACCCACCAATTCTTTCAATCTCTGGTGAACAGGGCTTTTGCAATTTTTAAGAAACAAAGCCGCAAAACTTCCCTTTTCTTCAAACATTTAAAGAAAAGAGCATTGTGTTGAGACTCTTGAGAGAGGGAAACCAAGAGGTAAACTGCACAATTATAATTTTTGTTAAGCATTACAAGAAAGAAGCTTTGGAGAGTTCTAAGTAACCATCACCTTTTTGGGACGAACAGAGCCGACTGCGTCCGTACTGTCAGTGCTCACCGTGGCCGTTATTGCTGCGGGTATTCTTGAAGAAAGAGTTTTGGCGGGTGCTGAAGACCGTTTTGCAGTTGTTGACTGTAGAAACAACATGGTTGGTAATGAAAATCTAGATACAGTAGTTGCAGAGCCAGAAACAGGCACTGCAGAAAGTTCCCGTGAGGAGAACTTCGCCGGAGCAGCTCTCACAGAAGAACAAGATAAGGTCTCCATTAATGACCGTCTCAGCACACTGTCTCGAATTTCCAGTTAAAATGGATTCCGCCTTCCTGGGTAAAAGCCTTGAACGATGTCGTTCTCAAAAAACTAGGCACCTTAAACGCTGCGTTTTGAGTCAATTCTATAATTTTATTCGTAACAGAATGAATGAAGAAGGAGAAACGGACACTCTACAGACTCCAGATAATCATCAAGCAAATCTGAAATCAGATTCTGGAGAACTGAGGAGGAGAGGGAGATAGAGGAAAATGTTTAGAGTTTTGGGGAAGAGAGGAGCTTCAGTTTCAGCTTTGGTTTCGTCGTCTCTGAGTTTGAACTCAGCTGCTTCATATGGAGGAGCCAATCCAATAAGGTACTTCTCCGTCGGGGTCCTTCCGGACGGTATCGATCGGAATTCCGATGCGGTTGTAACGAACTCGACGCTTATGGAAGGTTTACTGTCTCAGCTCCAATCCCACATCAGCAAGGTTTGTCCTTTTAGGTGTTAAGGGAGTGTTTCCAATTGTCTGAGGGTAATTGCTTATGTTTTTGTTTGGTAAATTGATTGTGGATGATGGATGATGTGATTTTAGGTTCTTGCGGGAGGAGGGGCTGAAGCTGTGAAGAGGAACAGGAGTAGGAATAAGCTTCTCCCTCGAGAAAGGATTGATCGCCTTCTTGACCCTGGCTCTTCCTTCCTTGAGCTTTCCCAGGTTTCTTCATTTTAAATAAATTTACAATCTTTGAGTTTCTTTAACTTAATGCAAAATAGAGATTTTCAATCATAATTTAGAGGAAGGTAAAGTGACTATAGTTAGATAGTTCATGTTGATAGTTGCAAGAATGTGGAAGAGATTGAATTAATGTTTAGAATTGGAGTAAGATCAATATGTGTGCTTCTCTCTGTCAATGTTGGGAAGGAATACATTAGTGAGCTTGTTTTGATGTTTTCTGTTCCCTCATTGAATGTTTAATGGATAAAGCTTGCAGGGCATGAACTTTATGGAGACTCCTTACCATCTGGTGGAATAATAACTGGAATTGGTCCCATTCATGGACGGCTTTGCATGTTTGTGGCAAATGATCCTACCGTTAAGGGAGGAACTTACTATCCCATCACTGTAAAGAAACATCTCAGGGCACAAGAGATTGCAGCTCAATGTAGATTGCCATGTGTATATCTTGTTGATAGTGGAGGTGCTTTTCTTCCAAAGCAGGCTGAGGTCTTCCCAGATAGGGATAATTTTGGTAGAATTTTCTACAATCAAGCCACAATGTCTGCTGAAGGTATCCCTCAGATTGCACTGGT